GGAGGGCGCAATTCACGGGACCTCATACAAGCGATCCGCCGGCTCTATAGCCGGCGGATCGCTTGTATGTTAACAGGCATCGCTGCCTGTTTTCAAATAACGGGCATTTCCAGCTCGCAAGCGCCCAGCGGTGCGCGTGAGGGGGCGTGGCTGAGCGGACGTCTAAAGTCGCCCGCTCAGATCTAGAGAGCTTCTGGCCGGCCGTTTTTTTTACTACGGCCGGCCTGGAGGCAGTTAAAGACCAAGGTGTTAAACTCCCTGCCTGTCCAGGCCATTTCTCAGTATTCAGCGATGCAGTACTTTGACATTTATTCCATCATGCAACGCTGTAATGAAATTTCTTTACATTTTTGGGGGGGACACAGCTTTCTTTTGGTGATTTGCAACATGTGCAGCACGATTGCAGTTTGCGCACGTAGGCGCACCCGACGCATGTTTGTGTGTATGGGGCAGGGGCCTTAATTTTGGCTTGGTTTTTTTTTTTTTTTGCAATTTTTTTTTTTTTTTTTTTTTACACACCTAGCCCCCTATGTGATAGCCAATTTACGTGACCGGTCCTCTTTATGGAGACATCAAGGGTCTCCAAGACCCCTGTCACCAAGGGACCCCCGGAGAAGCTGATGAAGACTTCCTGCATTCTGACACCAGATAGGAGATCAGTGTGAGATCTTGTACTAATCTCCGGTGACAGAGCTGCTGTGCCAGTCCCAGCAGATCTTGCACACCTACACAAAATACAAGCGATCTGGCATCTCTACAGACGTCTAAATTGTTGTATTTAATCAGCCATCGCTAGCTGTTTATTTAATGTCGTTTTCCCACTAATACGCAGCGCCCTGCACGAGTGGGGAGGGAATGGACGTTTAAAACGCCCATCCACATTTACAAAGCTCCCATCCGGCTGTTTTAGGTATAGCCAATGATGGGGAAGTGGTCTTTTTCTTTAAAATGCTATATAAATTTACCCAAGGTGAATTTATCAACACTGGATCAGACAAATCAGGAGCAGCTGTGCACAGATACCAATCAGCTTCTCTCTGAACAAAACTGATGAGGGAAGCTGAATGGTTATCCTGGACAAATGCTCCAGAGAAGGTCTGCCCCAGTTTTTTTATAAATTCCCCTCTATGCATAATTGTTCCAGCTTACTGATCAAGAAAGTTAGTAAAGTGTCCTTTTCACATTAAACTTCACACTTATTCATGCTCAGTAAAAAAGAAAAAAAAGGTATTAAAGTATTGAAGCCAAAGCTCAGCATGACAGCCACCAAATTAGAAGCAAAAAAAAACATTTTAAAAAGGACACTTTTTCCTGAGATCTTTTATACGGAGTTCACCATTTGTCCCAGTGAAGGAAATTAAGATAATACGTTTCTTATATCTAGGCATTTCATAGGGGACGTGAAAATCATAGTTGTTTGGTTGATTGAGAAACATTTCAGAATTAGGGCTTGTTCACACCAAATGCAGACCAGATCTGCATGAGTTTCTGCACATGCAGTGCAGTGGGTTGTGCGGAGGTTTTTGATGCGTTCGGGTCATTTTTGGTTATAAAAAATAAAAAATATTTCAGTGCGTTTGCATGCATTCCAGAGCAGGTAAAATAGGGCATGCTGCAGTTTTTTTTTTTACATGCTCTGGAACTGAACGTTGCGGTGTGAACTGGAATCCAAAACACCATCGGACTACATTGGACACAGTTTTGATCCGGTCTGTACCAGATCTGCTCCTGGAACGCGCTTGGTGTGAACAAGGCCTTAGGGAATATGTACTGGGACTTGGCTACCTTGTGCTAAATAAATTGAATATTGTTTCCAAATATTGTAGAGCCATAATTTTAGAATGTCATTACATATTCGTTCTAAGACAACTGCAATCAACATGTCACCTGCTGAGAAAACGTAATGTATACATGGCTATTGCAAAGTGCAATAGCCAATAGGAATCTAGCTATGCAATCGTATGCCTTTTCTGACCGACGGTCAAGCCGCGGCTCCCGATGTCAGAAAAGGAAAAAAAAAAAAAAAACGATCGCAGGGAAAGGTTTAATCTGCTCAATTGAGCAGATTGAACCTTTCCGGTAAAAAGGTGTTTCTCTCCTGGCCGGGATGTGTACTCACCGGCCCAAGCAGCTCCATCGGGTAACGAAGGGAAGGGGGAGGAGTCCAGTGACGTCACGGACATTGACGTCACCGAACTCCTCCCCCTTCCCTTCATTAGCCGACAGCCACTTGGGGAAGGGGGGGGGAGGAGTCCGGTGACATCGATGTCTATGACGTCAACGGATCTCCGACGGAAGACCCGGAAGCCGGCGGAGAGGTGAGTACGGATCAAAATAACTTTGATCGATCAAAATAATTAACAATTAAATCGAGGGATTAAGCGTTAATTTCCGCAGCCCTACATTTAACACATGTACCTACTTTCCTTGCACAGTTCCAGCACAGTGCAGTACAGTACAGGGCCTGTAACACAGTGGCTACACAGAAACGAAGACTCAAACCTTGAATGCATGAAAAGTGGCTAGACATAAGTATCCCAAATATTTTGCAGAAATACGATTATGCAGTTGCATAGTGCAGCCATTTTGTCCTCAAGGTCTGTGGCATCCCTTACACTTCCAGTCAACAACTTTTTTTAAATACTAATTGATTCTGGAATTTAGCTATGGGGTAACGCCTAGATATACAAACAATGATTTAAACAATCAAAAAGGCAAAGTTAAAATTATGGAATTACTGCATGTAGTGATATCCACCACTAAAAACACAACGGGGGAATTTATCAAAGCAATTGCGACAGTTTTAGCCTCTTCGATCATTTTTTTTTTTAAATGTGCAAATCCGTATTAACATGTGCACCTGTTTTGACCCGAGCTTGCACCACTTTTCCAACTACACGTGTTTTGCACCACTTTTCATCTGCACTTGTTCTGCAGCTGCCTGAAACTGGAGCACCACCTAACAATCCACAACTTTAGTCCCCATGACCACTTCAAGAAGCGACAGTTATGCTTTTTGCCTGGAGTTACAAGTCTTTTCCTGGAGTCTATTTAATCTCATTTATGAACATTACACCATCATACATCAGGCGCAAAGTGCATAAAATATATTCCGTGCAAGTTCAAACGCTCGCAATTGCTATGATAAATTCCCCCCATTCGGCTTTTACATTAGACCAATTCTGCAGGACACCTTTATACTGGTACTCACCATCCATCCTTCTGGGATTCCACTGGCGACTGTGGCCTGCCCAGTTTTGGCACCCTCATCAAACTTGTCAGCGGTTGTGAAGTCAACAGGCAGAGTAATCTTTACTTTGTTCTTCTCAGCCTTAGCCATCAGGTCTTTTACTATCTTTGCTCCCTCTTCATCAAACAAGGAAGTACCAATCTATCAAAAAAAATAAAAAATTAGTCCAATGACTTCCCCTGGAGTACTTTTCTCTGTGTGCGCTGAGTCTTTGCCAACAACATTTAACCTACTTCCTATGAGCCCAGGTCATCCTGGACCTACCACCAGCCCATGAAAAGAGAAGGAGCATAGTGAGGAGTTAAATGTCTGTCCTTTCTTGCCCTAAGAGCATGCTTCTTGCAAGCATATGAACCAATTGGCTCCTTGTCCCACTTCCTCAAACTCCAGCTTTTCTGTACAGCAGACTGCAAGAGGCCGATACCGGGTCACATTTAGGTTCTCCTGCTACTAGCATTTAAAGAATACACAAATGTATTAGGGATTACAAAGCTGCAATAATCTTTTAGAAATGAGCCTTGAATTTGTGGCCTTTAACAACCATATTCTACATAAACTGCTTCCATAAGTTTTTCATCCATGATGGTTCAAGTTTAAAGCTCTTGACTACATTTTCTGCCCCCTTGCAGCTACTATTTCAGTAACGAAATGTGGTAGCCTAACCCCCCAAATAATCTAGTTAAGGAAAACTAGTCGAAAATGTATAGGACCATCCAGCCATACAGAATGTCAGCACATACCTCCATGTTGTTCAGCACTTTCAAAAAGGTGAATGCCATTCCTCCACCAATGATCATTTCATTCACTTGGTCCAACATGTTATTGATGAGCTGGATCTTGTCCTTGACCTTGGCCCTGGAAATAACAGACCAGCTTATGATATCCAGAGAGGAAGCAGCATCTGCGCCTACAGATTTATAACAATGCATCTGCTGTCCTATCACTGACCCCTGCAGGGAGGATTACTACTGGGAGTAGGGATAATGCCTGTAACTCGCATACCTTCACAGATATTTTACAGAGGTTCGATTGGTTAACATCAGAAATGCAGACTCCACATAAGGTGTACATGGAAAGTAAATTACCATTTACACTTTAGTGATCAGTTACATAAGCCATGTTAAAGAAGCCCGTTTATTATGAATGTGCTGCCAACATAACATTTCATATACTTCCTTGGGTCTAAGGCAACAGATGTTGTCTAGCTCACCAAACCCTTCAGATTGTCAAAAGCTTCATCCTGTGACATTTGCCAAGTGGTAGAAGAACCCAAAGACAAACTTGGATTGTTAATATAGATCCAGCTGTTTACATTTAGCTCTATGCAGGAATAAAACAGATATGAAAATCTGGTCACTATGCACAAGGAATTAAATACAAAAATGATTAGCTGTTTAAATGTATGTGGAAGTTAGTTCCTCACACATGACCAGGCCCTCATCACTGATTAAGATAGGGCCTTCTACTGTAACCTTTATTCCACTTCTTTGGGCTTATGTATTAAAGGACTGGCTTATTAATATTCCAAAAAAAGACTGTTAGTTGCATATTTATTAGCCATTTACTACTGGTGGGAGAAAGACTCTTAAATCGGAAAACTTTAGTTGCTGAAGTGCCTGGTTAGTCAGTAAACAGATTGAGTGGAGCATTTGGACTTAGGGGTGTAATGAGCTTGGAATGCAAGTTGTTGCAGCAAGAATGTTTTGGAGGGAGATTCTGCATGCCACATCCTAGTCCCAAAGTCACATGTGCTTGGTCTAGCTACATGCATGAAATAAGGTTTACTCCCATTAATTGGTTGGCATACTGGCTGCTTATATACCAAATCTACTGATTTGACTGGTCACATTTTGCATATGCAACAATTTGTGTTCTGCTCAGTTTGAATTGCCCATGTTAGCTGCCAGCTTGGGACGTTAAAGCCTGAAAGTAAATAAAATGATGTGACTAATTTAAGACAATTTAAACTACAGCTATTATAAGCAAAACAAGCAAGAAAGGGGGGTTGTTATCACTTGCAATGTTGGCAAATCCCTGCAACCAATCAGGAATTGTTCCTCTCAACTCTATAAAAAAGGTAAATGGAGTCCATTATTATACATAGACTACACCCAAGGATCATCTTATTCCCCAGTTGTGCCCAGGTAAAAGACTGGGCAAATCTTACCACCTGTTCACAATGGGGGATCTGCCTCTCTAAGCACAAGTGAACAAAGCACAGGAGATCATTAGAATTAAGTCTGCGTGTATAGGGTTTATTGTTCTTTGAGGTCAAGAGCAGACAAACAGTTCCAAAATAACAGGCCATTAACATACCATATATAACTGCAGAATAAACAGTCTTTTATGGTCTGAAAGTTGTTTTTCTAGCTGAGCTTTCCCAGCTCAAATCAGCATTATACAGCTGAGCTGGAGTAAAAGTGAGGCAAGAGGGCAGAGTCTAGAGCCATCTGTAGAAACACAGGTCACTAGCTTAACACAATAGAGTCTGACACTGCATTACCATCAATGATCACTCACAGCTAATCAGTTAGTCCACAGAAGTGAAGACCATGGTTAATCAAGGTAGAGGATAGGAAGCAAGTATGACCTTATGGGCTAGCAATCCTACTAAATATAGTTCAAAAAAGATAAAGCCAATTAAAAGTCTGTCCTAAATCATGAGAACATGTATGGGGATATTGTCCTCATATGCCTGTTGCACCAACAACCCATACAGTCAGTGACGTGCCTTCTTTGAGGCATCCCCCATCCCGCTGAAGTTCAGCCCCCAGCTCAGTAACCAAGCTGTGTAGGGGAGGAAGGGAGGAGCCTCCCTGTCTCACTTGCAAAGCATCAAGTTTTATTTTTTTTATCTGCAAACCTTAAAAAAGGCAAAAACACAGGGCAGATTTGACAGCCATACAAGTGACAAAAATCTGAGTTTGGCGACTTGGCTGTTAGGAAGAAGTAAGGCAGCACTGCAGTCTAGCTAGTGCAAGTAAAATATCCATTTCAGTTGCACCAATTCATGTCTGAAAAATGCTGCTACGGTGTCATTTCAATTTCCTGTATTGAAGTCATTTTATCTTTTGAGTGGATATTCGGTTACCCAGAAAAAACTCAATACTAGATTGTTAACCCATCAACTCAGGTGCTGCCCCTTCCAACAAGTGTGCTGTATGATGACCGATGGAAAAGACCAACATAATTCAGGAAAACTACAAAGTGTATGTTCAGGGTAGAAATCTTATTACCTACTATACATTACCTGGCTTAAAAGCAAAGTTAACATTTCGGACTAGGTTTCACCCATATTCACGGTGTAACATAAGACATGAGGACAATGCACCTCCCCCCCTTCCGCGTTACCTGAACCACATGGTTCGAATCACCATAGGACTACAACCATGTCATCCATTCACAGATGACAGGATCAGGATCCGTGAATGGAAAAGCCACAAGTCCCATCAGCCACTGCTGCACAGGGAATTTTAGTTCTCAATAGAAATGCAAGTGCAGTGACCCCACTTGTAGCCCATTTGTTCTTCCATCCATGTTACTAAACGTCTGTACCTCAGTATGGGCAAAGGTGGGAGGGAGAATCTGCAGGATCCAGATCAACCGCAATCCGGCAGATTGCAGGTGCAATGAACTGCTTTACTGTCTACAATGCATTTAAAAAAAATTACATATACATATAAAAAGGCAAGGGGGCATAGGAGAAAGCAATAAGATTAAAGTGATACCTACCCTCCAAGAATGGCGAGGAATGGTCTTTCTGGGTTTTCTAGTGCCTTGGCAAAATAATCAAGCTCTTTCTTCATGAGGAAACCAGCAGCTCTCTGGGGCAGTTTAACACCTACCATAGAGCTGGAAAAGAGTTACAAAGAAATGTATAAGGTTCTCTAGGTGCAGGTTAATTACAATAACATTTGCAAGTGAAAAATTATATCCCCATGACATTAAGTCACAACAGACTGCCTAGGTGAAATATCAGTTTAAAGTAAGTCCACTATTCACATCCAATGCAAGACACTAGAGTTGTAGGATAATGGGAGTCTCTTTAAATTTTGTTTGCAATAATCAGTGTTTGGTTTGACTCTTACAAAAGACCACAAAGTGTATCTCAAGTGCTCAATATCTTCTACTGTAAATCCCCTGTGACCAATCAGTTTATCCATCATCTTTGTAGAAAAGGCAGGGGTGTGGAATTTGTATCGCCCGACGCCCGGGACACGTAGCTCCGGGCAAGTGGGTTTTTCACTGTTTTAGCCCTGCTACGGACAAGTAGCAGGGCTGGTTTTCTTTAGTAAATGAGCACCGAGAGTGGGGGGCATGGACGGAGCGTGGAGCGCTGAGAGCAGGGGGAGATTGCCACGCAGATGTAGCCCCATACATGTGGCTGCAACCACTGTATGCAACCGCACACAATCGCACGTTCCGGGAATCCCCAAGTCTGCACCAACCCTAAAAAAGGTAAATTCATTTTCCCAAGTAATTGGGAAAATGGAATTACCCGCACAAATCTCCCTCCCACTATACTTAACTGTCGGCAAACGGTCCTTCCCGTCCTCCAGTATGGGTGTACTATCTGTACCTGTTCCATGTATTCTGAATTTCGCTCGCAAAATTCAAGCACTCGTTGGTCAACGCAGTCACCTGACGGCACTGACCAAGGAGAAGCGCTTCTTAGCACTGCTAAATACGGTTTTGGTTAAAATTATTATTTTTGGTATCAGGACAAGTAGATTCGGCACACGCTTTAGTCCTTGGACAAGTAGTTTTTTCAAAAATTTCCACACCCCTGAAAAGGTAAGAGTAATGACATTTGTCTTTAGTAAAAGATAAGGCTATGTGCAGCTCAAAACTTGCCATTAAGACAACAGACAGACATGATTGCTTTACTCAATCCTGATAGTTTCTGCAGTTTCTGCAGTATTCAGGCCCTTCTGGCACCAGTCATTTAGGGTGTAGGTTTGGAGGAATAGATTAGTTAACAGATAAGAAACATCCTGGGCTATGAATTCCCTCATATCAAGGAAATTGTAAAGCATATGGTGTGCGTCGTGTAAAGCGTGGATGCGGGTGGGCGGGTCTGGCAGCGATGAGCGTGATTTGAGGAGGAGGCGCGGCACACAAAGTGTGTGTGGAGCCGTGAACAGGGCCAACTGATCGGAAGCCGATTAATCGATTGAAAAAGTTGACAACTTTTTCAATAATCGATTATAATCGATTATGTCGATTAGTTGTTGCAGCCCTAATGGTGTTAATTGTTTTGAAGCATAAAAGCAACAGTGTATTACTGGCTGGGTCCCTGGGTATTGCAATGGCTCTCAAGAGGTTACTCTAGACACGAGAGTTGTTGCCGAAATACTGTTCTCAATCCACTATCAGATGCAGCAATGCAAGTCACGTGCTGTGACTTATCTAGCAAGTGCAGAGTCAGATTACCTGTGAGCTCTGTGTGCAGTTCCAAAAGCATCATTGACATAGATATCTCCAAGTTTAGACAAAGAGGCACGGAAAGAGTCCACCTTGGCACCATCTGCCTTGATCTAAGGGGGTTAAAAAAAAAAAAAAAAAAGTTAAGCATAAGTCTTCGAGAGAATGAAAATAAAAAAGGCAGCTTGAACTTCTACCCACATCAACCAGTTGGATCCTCTTTTTATTGCAACACAAAAAGGTCTGGGAACTCTGATGGGGAGCTACTATTGACAATAAATCCTTTTCACAAAACTTTTACAAAAATATTAAAGAGCAGATTACATGTATAAAATCACACCAAAAATATCTACAGCATCACTAACACCCCTGGATAACATTAGAAACCAGAAGTATCATATTAAGGCAGCAGTGGGTTTTTTTCCCCCCTCCATACATACCTAGACTACCAGGACCCCAGATCTGTCCAACCCCAAATAACAGGAACAAAGGGAACCAACAGGAACTTTCTGCTGACTTCAGTCAGCAGAAAGTTAACTGAACTGACCTCTTTAGAAAGCATTTATGAAACGTCTCATGTTCACAAGTCACCCTTTGACAGTTGACACACCAGCTCTCTGATTTCAGTCACTAAAAGGTCACCCAATTATAGGAGAGTTTCTCTAGCCGTACAGTAGTTTGCAAAGTCAAGGATAGTATATCAAATCAGGCCAGGGATCCTAAAAATAACAGGACTCCCAAATGACTCCTTTCTTGACCTTCAGGAAAATGTCAGAGGTCAGATAGACTACATTAGACTGTACTCCTGCTGAATTTACAGATCTATTAAAAGCTTTCGGATTGAAATTTGTGCCCGATTACAAACCAATTTTCCTATCCCACAGCCCTCATTACACTTAGAGGTTTCCTAAATCCTTTCAAGGAATCACAAGAAGTTACTGGGGTTCATTTACAGTAAAGGTTTCTTAATAAAAAAGCAGCATCCGTCACAATAAGGTGTAGGTTCCCTGGCTGTCAAATTTATCCTGGGGCATCATCACTTGGAGAACTATGAGGTGAGCGATTTTCACTCAATCTCAGATCAAGCCGACCTGTGACAATGAAACTGTCACAGGTCGGCTCTATAGATCAGGAAGTGAGCAAACGAATACCATCGCTCGCTCACTTTCTGATAGTAACCGCTCTATGCAGGGAGATGATCAGACACCGCTCCCTGCAGGGATTCCCCCCCTCCCCGATCCCCCAGCACTGAGTGCAGGAACGGACGGGTACAGCTGCCCCTCAAGCAGCTGGGTGGATCTCAACAGCTTTGTCAGGATCCATCCCAGCTGCTGCGACCTCGGTATACAATGAGCAAAAGCTCGCTATATACTGAGCTTTGGGTCACAGGAGGACGTTCGAATATGTCCTCCCATGACCCTTAGAGAAGTTTGGGATAAAAAGGTTACCCCATAGTTCTCTTAAGGATGCAACCAGTATGTCAGATTCTGAGCTGAAGGTTTGCCCTGGGTTGGTGACCAAGTAGTGAAGCCAAAGAATGAGAATGGCAGATGGAAAGGACAAAAAAAATGCAGCTGCCTTAATACTATAATAGACAGGCTCACTTCAAATGGTGTTTGCTGTCTGAACCGTATAATGCAGCGTTTTTCTTCAGACGCCAACATTTCACGCAACATGTGACAATACTGACAAACAGAAAAAGCCTAGTGTCCAACCTTGTTCCCAGCTGAATCTTTGCCTTTACCCTCTTCCTCTACATGGAATCGCAGGTTCTCCAGGAGAAGAATGGTCCCAGTGGCTGGATTGGCACATGCTGCCTCTACATCTGGTCCCACACAGTCCTTCAGAAATACTACATCCCTGCACATAAAAGAAAATGGTACCAACATTAGGTAAAAATGAATACCTTCACAGCTGGGCTTTGCAGCCATACCCCTTCAGAAGGGACGCTACCCTAACAACGTAGGAGTCCCCCTTTCTTTTATCAGCATTATGCACCCAAAGACTGCTTCACAAAAGGTGTCCTCAGATAACAATACATTGTCAGGTGGTCATTATACAATAATCACTAAATGGATGTAAAGCATTGTAAATCTCAGCTGACTCACTTTACCTGCAGGGTCTCAAAAATAAAAAATGCTAGATAGGGTGTCTGACACCCATGCAGTCACATTAGTAGCATATGCTTCAGCACAATGCCATCCAACCAGTGCTAAATTGTCAGCTTGGGTTGGATTTTGCCATCTAACACTTTATAGAAAACCCTATTTTACATGAATAAACTCAAGACAAAAAAACGTAAATGGGCGTAGAATATAAATGCTGAAAAGTCTGCAGAATACTTTAGTATGCCATACTGTATCATACTAAATCTTTTATTAAAGAGCCCATTTACACTTCTGAGTTGCGGTAACCATGTTACCATACTCCAAGAGCAGCAGCCAATGCAAAAGCACAGCAGTACATAACATACAGCTGTGCTGCGTCCCCACAAAAAGGGACATGTGTATTTTGGGTCTGCTGCAGTGCATTGGCCGCTCATTTATAATGAATGGGTTGCCCTAACGCAATGCACAACAGCACACCACAAAGCACTGCAATAGTTAGAATTCCGCAAAGGGCAGCAATCATGTGAAGCAAGCCTAAATATTAACATTAAAAAGAAGAAAATACCTTTTTAGAAGAGCTTTAAGTTCCACAGCAACTGGTTCCAGGGAGTACTTATCAGGCATGGGAACACCATCCGGCCGACCCAGGTGGCTCATTAGAACAACTGATTTAGCACCATTGTCTAAGCAATGCTGGATGCTGGGAAGAGCAGCTTTAATCCTACAGGCAGCACACAGATCAATATTAGAAAGCAGTTGACAGTCATGATCCATTTCTGGCAATGCACAAATATTTTACAAGTTGTTTTATAGCATTACTGACCAATCACTAAGGCAGTTCATTATGG